AATTACAAGTCTTGACAGCCTTGGTGGCTGTTGGCTTGTAGTTCCCAATGAACTACCATGGCACTGTGGAGCACCGTGGTAGTTCATTGGATCTTCCTAACAGTATATCTGCTTACTCGTATATACCGTGCAGGCAAGCAAACATACTGATAAATCTAAAGGAGACCTGCATGGCACCAGCGATCTACTGATTGCTGACTGTGGGCTGACTGTGGCACTTACTTCTGTGGCAAGAGTTGTATGTGCATGGTATGAGAACGTCAAAATTACCTTAAAGTCCATTGTGGAGAGCTTTTCAATTGTACTGGCATTGCAAGAGCTTATGTGGTTTTGTGGCCAAGACAGCTTGTTTTTGTTTTTGATGACAGCAGTGGCATATATTGCCAAAAAAGACAGTATTTTTCTCTGTCTGGCAGCAGAGATTATACAATGGGCAGAGGGTCATGTACAAGTCCTTTTAGCAAACGACATCCTAGAATCAGAGGTCAGAAACCTTGGGTCACCACATTGTGAATAAAAAAAAATCAAAGTCAAGGCTCAGATTTTTGCAGAAGGTGTTTAAGAATTAAGGGGATATCAACAATAGACCTAATGGTCTCCACAGTCAATTAAAAGGTCCATCTTTTCTTTTCTGGCTGTAATTGCCAGTATACCCTGTGGCAGAATGTACTGTCATGGACTTGCTCTTTTTGTTTATGCATTTTCTCCCAAAAGCCTGATACATAGTTATTGACTCTTTGGAACAAGAGAGTGCATGAAATTGCCATAATACCTTACTGGTCCAGGAGGCCATTGTTATTTCTTCTCATGCATATGGAGATGGCTCTAGCCTGGACTCTTCATTCCATGCAGAGACTATTTTTGCAAGGCACAGGCTTCTTTCTCCCATGAAGAATCTTCTACCGGAAGGCAAATTTCTTTCAGATTCTGTATCACTCCATTTTATAGCTTAGAGGTTGAAAGTGGATATGTAAGGTTCCCTTTTTTAGGGTTGTGTTCATTCTGTTCAGCAGTTCATAGAGATACCATCCCTTCTTCTCAGTCAACCCCTTATTGCCAGTGGTCAAGAGTAATATGAAGTGGCCTGCATCCTTGACTCCAGGAAAATTAGTTACTAAATGTACTTTGACCAGTGGAAGGATTTTGGCCCTGAAGAAATCCCTTGAGTTCCTGTCACCTCAGTGCCACAAAGGCTTGTAAGCAACAGGTTGACTTAGATGGACTGGTGTCTTTATTCAACCTTACTAACTATGTAACTATGACATTTCTATCATTTTCATCCTGACAAGTCAACCTGAAAAGGGATTGCTGAAGTAATAACATTTTTAAAGAGACACACTATTGCCAAATTTGTTAGCAACAGTCCTGTAATTTCTTTATAATTGCATCCAGCTAAGGAGGAAGTAAAGTATATTTTACCATTATTTAAGAGTAGGGATAAGGTTAATTAAATGGGTTTCACTATAGTATTTTGGGCTAGTACTTCAAGGTGACATTATTACTAAGGACCTGTGTATCCTATAAGCTAAGAGGATTGAGGACACTTTCAAGAGGTATTTCCACAAAATGAAAATGCTTCTTAGATACTATGATACCAACATGATTAGGAGCACTAGAGCATATAAAACTGCATTGTGCTTGATTTGTTTCTGAGTTCCACACTTCGTCTAATACTGTGAAATAATGTTGCATTCTTTTTCAGTCATTAAAAGTCTCTTATCAGGATTGCTCTGAAAAACATGTTCAAGAAGTGCAAGTTGAAAAACTTAAATATATGGTGTATGACTTCCATTTGTTTGAAGAGGAGAGGATAAGTATAGGTCATTGAAAATTAGGAAGAAATGGAGCTATTTTATTGGTGAATAGTTGCTGCTTTTTGTTTTAGCAAGGATTGTTTGCTAGCAAAGTAAAAAAACCCAGATCTGATTTTAGCTGCCAGTAACCCTAAATACTTACTCGTAATATGATCATCTAAGTATGTTCACACATTGATATGTGATATATACACAAATACAAAATGATAGAAAATAGGCACCTACTCAGAATTACACTATAGGAGTATTTTAAAAAAGCAAAATCCAGGGGCACAAAACATGAATATAAGAAAGCCTTACTTTAAATTCTAAAATCTATTTGATGATTACAAAGGAGGGGCTGTACATAAAAGGCAAGACATAAACAAAACTAACGAGGCCTCAGAAAATTGGAGAAATTTATAAAAAAAGAAATATAAAGTATGCATATGATTAAATATAAATAACAATGTACATCAAAACACCCAATAAAAATTCCAGCTCTAGTTAACCACTTGCCGCCCCTTCCGGTAGTGTTAGCGCCCCTCCGAGATAGTGCCAGATTTCCCGCTAATACACCAGTAATCCCGTCTAACTCCCTGATCGCCCCCCCCAGTTAACCCCTTCACTGCCCTGTCACCAGTGTCATTGATCAGTGAACAGATTTTTACTGATCACTGTATCAGTGTCGCTGGCGACTTCCAATAGTGTTAGCGCCCCTCCCAGATAGCGCCAGTTTGCCCGCCAGTACACCAGTAATCCCATTTAACCCCTTGATCGCCCCCCCCCCCCCAGTTAACCCCTTCACTGCCCTGTCACCAGTGTCATTGATCAGTGAACAGATTTTTTACTGATCACTGTATCAGTGTCGCTGGCGACTTCCAATATTGTTAGCGCCCCTCCCAGATAGGGCCAGTTTGCCCGCCAGTACACCAGTAATCCCATTTAACCCCTTGATCAGCCCCCCCCCCCCAGTTAACCCCTTCATTGCCCTGTCACCAGTGTCATTGATTACAGTGAACTGATTTTTACTGATCACTGTATTAGTGTCACTGGTGACTTCCGATAGTGTTAGCGCCCCTCCCATATAGCGCCAGTTTGCCCGCTAATGCATACCAAAAACATGTAGCAGAATACATTTTGCCTTAAATTTATGACTAACTTTGAGTTTACGATATATTTTTTATAGATGAAAGTAAAAAAAATATTGTTTTTTTTTTTCAAAATGTTCATTTTTTTTTTGTTTATAGCGCAAAAAAAAAAAAAAGCGCACAGGTGATAAAATACCACCAAAAGAAAGCTCTATTTGTGTGTAAAAGAGGACGTAAATTTCGTTTGGGTACAGCATTGCATGACCGCGCAATTATCAGTTGAATTAGTGCAGCGCTGTATAGCAAAAAAAAGGCATAAATTACAGTATCTATACCATAGTTTGTAGACGCTATAACTTTCACACAAAGCAATCAATATACACTTATTGGGATTTTTTTTACCAAAAACATGTAGCAGAATACATTTGGCTTAAATTTATGACTAACTTTGAGTTGACGATATATTTTTTATAGCTGAAAGTAGAAAATATTTTTTTTTTTTCAAAATTTTCGTGTTTTTTTTGTTTATAGCGCAAAAAATAAAAAGCGCACAGATGATAAAATACCATCAAAAGAAAGCTCTATTTGTGTGAAAAAAGGACGTATATTTCGTTTGGGTACAGCATTGCATGACCGCGCAATTATCATTTGAATTAGTGCAGTGCCAAACAGCAAAAAAAAGGCCTGGTCATTAAGGGGGGTAAATCCTCAGGAGCTCAGGTGGTTAAAGTAAACAATGGTCCCTTATTCACAATTGTCCATATACAGTAAATATTGTGACAGCGCAAAGCCCTGCCACAGTGAAAATGACCAGGATTCATATTAAGGCTTACTGTGAGGACCCAAATTATTGTTTCTGAGCAAAGAAAGCTATGTTTTTGGCTTTCTTTGGATCCTGCAGTCCCGGATTGGGGCCTGGAGCTTGAAGGTTCCAAAGTGTCATGTGTAGGATGGAACCTTAAATCCTGTGTCCAGATTTTACTGGATGCCTGCAGTCTGTGTGAGTACTCAAATGTGCAGGGTTGTTATATACCCAAGCCCACGGATAGCTTAGAGCTCCCAGTTGTATCCCAAGATGTGCCCCAGGCAGTAGTCAGGAGAGGGGAGTCAGATTGGCACCTATCAGGGTGTCAGGAGAACCAGGCGCTGTGACTAAAGGATGAGTGATCCAAGAGAAAAAGGGAATATAGGTAATACAGTCAGAGAGACTGGTAAGAAGAGCAGTGGTGCTGCTGACAAGGAAGCCAGGTGGCTTGGCATTTTCAGTTAACTGTTCATGTGGAAGAACCCCTGCATGGACAAATGTTAATAAAAGTGGGCTGCCACGCCATAAAATATAGTTTTGACTATCTCAACCCATTGGAAAAGCACCTACCACATGAGCATAATCCCCTCAATGCCAATATATACAGTGTGTATATACAATACTGTATATTAGCAAAAGTATTGAGATACCTGCCTTTACACGCACATGAACTTTATTGGCATCCCAGTCTTAGTCCGTAGGGTTCAATATTGCGTTGGCCCACCTTTTGCAGCTATAACAGCTTCAACTCTTCTGGGAACACTGTCCACAAGATTTAGGAGTTTGTCTATAAAAATGTTTGAGCATTCTTCCAGAAGCGCATTTGTGAGGTCAGGCACTGATGTCGGACAAGAAGGCCTGGCTCGCAGTCTCCACTCTAATTCATCCCAAAGGTGTCCTATCGTGGTTGAGGTCAGGACTCTGTGCAGGCCAGTCAAGTTCCTCCACCCCAAACTCTCATCCATGTCTTTATGGACCTTACTTTGTGTACTGGTTCGGTTTGCAGTCATGTTGAAACAGCAAGGGGCCATCCACAAACTGTTCCCACAAAGTTGGAAGCATGAAATTGTTCAAAATGTCTCAGTATGCTGACACCTTAAGAGTTTCCTTCACTGGAACTAAGGGGCCAAACCCAACCCCTGAAAATCAACTCCACACCATAATCCCTTCTTCACCAAACTTTACACTTGGCACAATGCAGTCAGGTGCCAAGTGCCATTCTCCTGGCAAATGCTAAACCCATACACGTCCATCGGATTGCCAGACAGAGAAGCGTGATTTGTCACTCCAGAGAACACATTACCACTGCTCTAGAGACCAGCGGTGGTGTGCTTTGCACCACTGCAGCCGACGCTTTGCATTGCACTTGGTGATGTAAGGCTTGGATGCAGATGCTCGGTCATGGAAACCCATTCCATGAAGCTCTCTATGCATTGTTGTTGTGCTAATCTGAAGGCCACACAAAGTTTGGAGGTCTTTAGCTATGGACTCGGCAGACAGTTGGCGACTTCTACGCACTGTGCACTTCAGCATGCACTGACCCTGCTCTGTCATTTTACATGGCCTACCACTTCGTGGCTGAGTTGCTGTTGTTCCCAGTTGCTTCCACCTATTTATAATACCACTAAAAGTTGACCATGGAATATTTAATAGCAAGGAAATTTCACAAATGGACTTACTGCACAGGTGGCAACCTATCACAGTACCATGCTTGAATTCACTGAGCTCCTGAAAGTGACTCATTCTTTCATAAATGTATGTAGAAGCAGTCTGCAAGCAGTCTGGTGCTTGATTTTGTACATCTGTAGCCGTGGAGATGATTGGAATACCTGAATCCAATGATTTGGCGGGGTATCCCAATATATTTGGCAATATAGTGTATATATAGTGTGTTTATATAATGCTGTGCTTCACAACTGATCCAATATGTTGAAACAGTCCCAAAGTTCAACTGGCACTGCAATAGAATATTGTACAGAATATAGGGCGTGCAGATGGAAATAAAGCACTGATTACGGAAAGGTTCAATAAGGACACTTAAGGACACTTACATATGCCACCCTGCACCCATGCACAGTAGCTGTATGCATACTTACACACATTCCAGAGGTACTTGTATAGCGCCTGCTGGGTGAGATGTATTCAAGTGAATAGGGCAATTCTGTAAGCACTCCACAACCACATACAATGCATATGGTTGCACGCTCTAGTATAGGATTCAAGGGGTTAAAACAGGCTTTGATGAGACAATACAACACCTCCTCACCACCTGTCAAATGCTCTCCAAAAAGTTCTTTGAAAAGCAATCTGAACACATATCACTCTTCAGAGGCCAACACTGGTGTGAACGAACCCTTAAATATTCCTGTGGGTGGTGAGAAACTCAAACAAAACTCCATGCCTTTTACAATGCTGGACCACTGCTAAACTTCACCTCACTGATCACAAAGTTAGGTCTTTTACACGAGTGGCAAAAAATCTGCATTTCTGTTCACCTCTATAGAATTACAAGATGCTCTTGGGTGGGTAAAACAGAGAGAAGGCTGTCCTATAAAGGTGGAGATACATGGAGAGGATGAAGACAGCTAAACATCACACAATCAGGAACTGTCATGACTACTGCAGTTGCTGTCAGAAAATACGACCATCCATTTGCTTACTCCACAGCCAGCAACAGCAGTCCTCACAGTGACACAGTCCAATTTATAAATAGTCCCATTCCCAGTGTCCATCAGTGAAGTGGTTGCAGTTCCAGTAAGTTCCATCAGGAAAAAAGCCCTGTGAAAACCACATTCACTGTTAAAACTATGTTCATTTGAGAAAAAGTTTACATTCTTCTTCTGTTACTTTTCTTGTCAGTTTGAAAACAAACATAAATTTGACCCCACTAACAGCAAACAATGTTCAGTTCATGTTCCCTGCTTTTCTTAAAATCGCACATTGGTAGCTGTAGGTAACCTCAGTCAGTGCAGGGCTGTTAAAAGTGCAATATTCTTGGTGTGGCCTGCATTCAAAGAGTAGTGACAGATGGCAAAATCAACTTGATTACCATTCACCACACCACAAAAATCATTAAGAGTGTTGTAATCTCCAGTGAAAAAATAACCATCAGAGTGGTTAATTAGTCGACCATAACCAGCACACAGGCATGTAGAAAAAAAAGCAGCTAGAAATTAGCTTGGGCATCCTCTGAACTCATCAATTTTTTTTTTTCATTTCCTCCACATGGAAATAAATTGGGGGGATGCTGATGACATCAGTGCCCTTATATGGACACATGACCATATTTAGCTAATGACATTAACTAAATATAGGAATGTGTTTATAAAAGGGCACCAAATTCATCAGCATCCCACTTTTTGTTTTTTTTTACATAATTGAACATTCTGTTACCGTATTTATGTAGTACTTTGATTTTTACTGTGATGTAAATTACAAGTTTGAATAATTCTATTTATTTGTTACAAGATGAGGATATTGAATGTGCTATGCTCTTAGTATGGAATGCTAGGAATGTTTGGGAGATGTAGTCTGGGCCACATTAGGTGACACTAAAGTAGCTGAGCTCATGAACTACAAGCCCCAATAAACCATGAAGGCAGGAAGAATTCCAAGAAGGATATACACTCACTGGCCACTTCATTAGGTACGCCTTGCTAGTACCAGGTTGCCTTCAGAACTGCCTTCCATGATGAGAATCTCCCATTCCACTACTTCCCAAAGGTGCTCTATTGGATTGAGATCTGGTAACTGTGGAGGCCATTGGAGTACAGTGAACTCATTGTCATGTTCAAGAAACCAGTTTGAGATAATTTGAGCTTTGTAACATGATGCATTATCCTGCTGTAAGTAGCTATCAGAAGATGGGTACACTGTAGTCATAAAGAGATGGACATGGTCAGCAACAATACTTGGGTAGGCCGTGGCGTTTAAACAATGCTTATTTGGTATTAAGGGGCCCAAGAAAATAACCCCCACACCATTACACCACCACCAGCCTGAGCCATTGATACAAGGCAGGATGGATCCATGCTTTCATGTTGTTTACGCCAAATTCTGACCCTACCATCTGAATGTTGCAGCTGAAATCGAGACTCCTCAGACTAGGCAACGTTTTTCCAATCTTCTTTGATCTAACTTTGGTGAGCCTGTACGAATTGTAGCCTCCTTTTCCTGTTCTTAGCTGACAGGAGTGGCACTTGGTGTGATCTTCTGCTGCTGTAGCCCATCTGCTTCAAGGTTCAACATGTTGTGCATTCAGAGTAGGTATTCTGCTTACCTTGGTTGTAACTAGTGGTTATTTGAGTTACTGTTCCTTTCTATCATTTTGAACTGGACAAGTCTGCACATTCTCCTCTGACATCAACAAGAAATTTTCGTCATCACAACTGCCACTCACTGGATATTTTCTATTTTTCAGACCATTCTCTGTTAACCCTAGAGATGGTTGTGCGTGAAAATCCCAGTAGATTGGCAGTTTTTTAAATACTCAGACCACTCCATCTGGCACCAATGACCACTCTACTCACAGACCAGAGTCCCTCAGGGCATGGAGTCTAAGCCCCAGGCTGCCCTTCACCAGGGCCCCTGATGGTGGGGATGGATTCAGCAATGGGGCAAAACTACGGCCCGGCGGACCTTTTAATCCGGCCCGCGGAGCTAGGCTCCTCTCACAGTCCGCCGTGTAGCATGAAAAATCTGTCTCCTATGAGGATCTGTCCCCCTCGACGTATCTGCGCATGTGCCGGAGATCGCCGATCGGCTGCTAATGCCTGAAACTGGCACATGGCAGATACGTCGAGGGGGACAGATCCTCATAGGAGACAGATTTTCATGCTACACCGGAACGGGCGCGGGAGCACGACGAGAGGAACGCGCGGAGCAAAGGTAAGTGAATTGACACAGGGGGGACTTAGGGACTTAATATGGGGAATGAATTACTATATGGGGGATGAATTACTATGGGGGATGAATTACTATAGGGGGGATGAATTACTATATGGGGGATGAATTACTATGGGGGATGAATTACTATAGGGGGGATGAATTACTATGTGGGGATGAATTACTATGGGGGATGAATTACTATATGGGGGATGAATTACTATAGGGGGGATGAATTACTATATGGGGGATGAATTACTATATTGAATTACTATGGGGATGAATTACTATGGGGGATGAATTACTATATGGGGGACTTGGGGACTTAATATGGGGAATGAATTACTATATGGGGGATGAATTACTATGGGGGATGAATTACTATAGGGGGGATGAATTACTATAGGGGGGGATGAATTACTATAATGGGGGATGAATTACTATATGGGGGATGAATTACTATATGGGGGATGAATTACTATGTGGGGGATGAATTACTATATGGGGGATGAATTACTATATGGGGGATGAATTACTATGGGGGATGAATTACTATGGAGGAGGAATTACTATGGGGGAGGAATTACTATATGGGGGATGAATTACTATATGGGGGATGAATTACTATATGGGGGATGAATTACTATGGGGGATGAATTACTATATGGGGGGATGAATTACTATGGGGGATGAATTACTATATGGGGGATGAATTACTATGGGGGATGAATTACTATAATGGGGATGAATTACTATAGGGGGGGATGAATTACTATATGGGGGATGAATTACTATAGGGGGGGGGGTGAATTACTATGGGGTGAATTACTATGGGGGATGAATTACTATATGGGGGATGAATTACTATATGGGGGATGAATTACTATATGGGGGATGAATTACTATGGGGGATGAATTACTATGGGGGATGAATTACTATGGGGGATGAATTACTATATGGGGGGATGAATTACTATGGGGGATGAATTACTATATGGGGGATGAATTACTATGGGGGATGGGATGAATTACTATATGGGGGATGAATTACTATGGGGGATGAATTACTATATGGGGGATGAATTTACATGGGGGGATGAATTACTATATGGGGGATGAATTACTATAGGGGGGATGAATTAACTATGGGGGATGAATTGGGGGATAAATTATATAGGGGGGATGAATTACTATGGGGGATGAATTACTATATGGGGGATGAATTACTATATGGGGGATAAAATTACTATATGGGGGATGAATTACTATGGGGGATGAATTACTATGGGGGATGAATTATATGGGGGGATGAATTACTATGGGGGATGAATTACTATGGGGGATGAATTACTTATGGGGGATGAATTACTATGGGGGATGAATTACTATGGGGGATGAATTACTATATGGGGGATGATAATTACTATGGGGGATGAATTACTATATGGGGGATGAATTACTATGGGGGATGAATTACTATGGGGGATGAATTACTATGGGGGATGAATTACTATATGGGGGATGAATTACTATGGGGGATGAATTACTATATGGGGGATGAATTACTATATGGGGATGAATTACTATAGGGGGGATGAATTACTATGGGGGATGAATTACTATAGGGGGGATGAATTTACTATGGGGGATGAATTACTATGGGGGATGAATTACTATGGGGGATGAATTACTATATGGGGGATGAATTACTATGGGGGATGAATTACTATGGGGGGATGAATTACTATGGGGGATGAATTACTATATGGGGGATGAATTACTACTATGGGGGATGAATTACTATATGGGGGATGAATTACTATAGGGGGGATGAATTACTATGGGGGATGACTTAATGAATTACTATATGGGGGATGAATTACTATATG